GTCTCCTGGCCGTGGTATATCCTGAACCTTTTTGCCTCCTTTCTGGGGATGGGACGTGGTAAAATGCAGTGGTTCGTGTAGATCCGATGCCACATTTCTAAGAAATGTCCTCCTGCCTCAGACTTGATCTGAGACCAGGGGTATTGGCCTGAAAGGGCAGACGATGCATTCTGAATGAACTGGGCTCTCAGAAGCACTGACTGATATGTCGGTGAGGAGGAAGAGAATGAGTTTTTGTCTCTTTTTACCCCTTTTCTCCCACATTTCCTAGAATATTTCTGTTAAAAGGCTTTTTGCATTTTGTCTTAGTCTCTGAGACACATTAACTGCATGGACTAATAATTAGAAGTGAAATAAAGTTTCCTATGTTAAATCTTGTACAGTTAATTAAAAAAAATCAGCCTTTCGACAGTTCAATGTGTTAAAGATGCTCCATATACTGCCGTTTCATTTAATTATTACAAGAGGAGGAAAGCACGTTTTAAAAAGTTCGGCTGCACATCTGTGTTCGAATATGTTTCCTGGCTTGTGTTTTTTTCCATCTTATATTCAACCAGATTAAATTCATCTACTATCCGGGAACAGGAAAGGTCTGAGGAGCAGGGGTGTTTTAAAAGTCCTCTAAATGGCTTCTTCAACCTAATTTATAAAAACAACAGCAGGCCTGAACTTTGAATGGACTATTAGCTCAATACCCTTGGGTTGGAAAAACATAAAAAACACTTTGGCCATGTCCCAACTATCCATAGAGCCTAAGAGCTTGATTGTATTGCTAGCTGGCAAGGCCATCTTACAATCTATAGACTAGGAAATTCACTTTTCCCCACCAGATATCAACAGCTAATATATCTCTGCCTGTCTTTTCAACTGTAAATCCAAAATGTAGAAAGAATGAAGATGAAGAAAAAAACAAATAATGTAGCTGAGCAAATGAAGACATAAACGCACAATAGTTACTGATAAATTTAGGGTAGTATCGTTGGGATTTTTTTTTTGTTCAAGCTAAGGCTAATTAATATGTATTTTGCTGTCCACCTTATTAGGCACACTTTACATTTAGTATTGTATGACCACTTTGGCCTTCAGAACTGCCTCAAATTCAACAAGGCTCAAATGTTTCTCAGAGATTTTGTCCATGTTGAATTGGTTGCATCACAGAGTTGCTGCAGATTTGTCACTTGCACATCCATGATGCAATTCCCATTCCACCAAATCCCCAAGGGGCTCTCTGTCTGGTGACTATGGAAGCTATTTGAGTACAGTGTTCTCACTGTCACGTTCAAGCGCTATTCTGTTCGAAGCATCAGTTGGAATATGGATATAAAGATCAGATACTACGAGGACCAAAGTGTGCCAAGAAGATACTCTCCCCCAATCACACACCTTTACACCCTCACTAGCAGCCTGAACCGTTGACACAAAGCAGGATAGATTCATGCGTTCATGACGTTTACACCAAATTCTGACTCTGACATGTTAACGTCGCTGCAGAAATCACATTCGTCTGTAGTCCATCTGCTTCTAGGATCACCATGTGTTCAGAGGTGCTCTTCTGCATACCTTAGTTGTAACGAGTGGTTATTTAACAAAATATCTCTTTTTCAGTAAACATGATAAATGCTGGAGGTCTAAGTGGATTATGTGCCTAAATGAGCACATGCATTCAAATTATTTTGGAAAGCAGACAGAAGCAGGGGTAAAATCAGGCTTAGCTCTCCAGCTTTTTTAGGCCCACCTAAAAAAGCTAACAGATGGCCGGTAACGCTGCCACTACCACCAGAGAGCTCCTTGATTCACTTTTAGGTGACGGTTCAATTTCCAACTGACATGAATGGCCTCATGCCCTTTTAGATCCATACTCTTCCAACCGTCTGTCTGCCTCGCACAGGAGAAATGCTGTGAAATATGAATTATTAGTGAATGGATTTAAATATTTGGCTGTTGGCCTGGTTTTTTGTAGTCTGGCACTCAGCTCACGGTTGCTGCTAGCGCTGCTTTTTCCAAGGTTATCCTTTTTTATGTTTCGTGCGAGTAAATTGTCACCGAAAAGCCGTCAATGCTAGAAATTCTGAACAATAAGCCTTTTTTTTTTTAGTCTTTCTGTCGTCACAGTCGCACGTCTTTCATGCTCTTCATTTTTTCAATAATTGCAAATAATTGGTCACCGTGTTGTGCTTTCTAAACTGTCTTGTAATGGCATACTCCTCTTTACAAGGCCTGAGAGGACTCTTGTCATTGTAAATATCAATACCCCCAATTTGAATTTCTAGGTCACGTTATTTTGGGAATTGGAAGGTCGAGATTGATGTGAGAGCCGAGCCATTTAACACTGAGGCAATTTTAGCCCCATCAAAAGCGACTGAATTTCATAATTTAATCGTTTTCATAACCCATAAGAAAGGAGCCTTCACATTTAATATGTAAAATGTTCAATTCATTTGTCATTTAAATGAGACATGATGGACTTGATGTTACTAACCGGCCAATATTCAGTTTTTTGTTCTTTGTGTTTTGCTCCCAGGCCACAGAGAGTGATTTGGGGGATGTCGACCTTTCTGGACTTCCAGAGGCTGCAGTGGACAGTGAGGAGGAGGAGGAGGAAGACGAGGACCTGGAGAGAGCTTCGGACACTCTCCTAGGCCGAGATCTGGTCCGAGAGTGTCTAGAAAAAGACCCTGTCGACCGCAATGACGACGACATCGGTCAGTTTGACAACTTTGATTTGATGGAATTGGGATAAAAGGGACCTAAAATAAACTGACAGATTCGGGCTGTCTCAGTGGCTATTTTTAGACTCATTTAGTACAGAAATGAGAGATGAGTGATATACAAATGTCCCTCTCTCATAAAGACCCCTTGCAGCTGTCCCCAAACACCAGTCTGTATTTTCAAGCAGGCACTCAGAGGCAACCTCATTAACAGAACCCAGTGGGGTATTAAAGGAGGGGCTTGCATCAGAGAGCTGAGAGAAGCAAAGGCCTGGCCTGCTGCGTGCCTGCTGGGAGGCTGGCCTTCTCATGGCCTTCAGCATTACAAGCACAGCTCATTGAGAGGAAATACCTGACACAGAGAGCAACTGAAGGGATAACAGGCTGAACCCAAATTCAACCAACTTTTATTATTCTATTTCACGTCATTAGTTACTTTTTTGATGCTCTCCAGAAACTCTCTGAAAGAATCTTCCTGAATAAACAGACAGAAATATTTTCGCTGGGCTTTCAGGGCTTTAAAAAGACATTTTTCCCAGGTGGTTGATGAATACGTCCTTGGGGCTGATGAGATGGTTAAAAGAAAATAAAGCAGGAGAGAGCACTTATAGTTTTGAAAATCAGGATTTTTGTTTTTTTCTCTTTTTTTTGGAACTTCTTTTACATTTTTCACCTCGGTTGGCCCCTAAAAATGTAATAAATTACTATAAAGGGATAACTGATGTTTGTTTTTTTATGTATCACAAGATAGAGAGGCTGTAAACCAGATTTAAGGACAATTGGCAGTCATCAAAATATTAATGATAAGGTTGTGTTACCCTCTGGTACCCTTTAGAGTTTTGGTGCTTAGCTCCTAGTGTTTTTTTAAACATGTGATAAATCTACATTTTATGATTGTTTTCCTCCCATGGAAAACTCTATACACGTTGCACTTTAAGCTACTTTCCTTTACTAAGAAAAGGGAAGATTTGAACGAGGTGTTAACACCAAGAGGAGTAAAAAGGAGCTACTGAGCCAAGCAGCATAGTTTGCAGGTTGGAGCTGGGTCACTGTGCTCTCAGCTGCAGTGCAGAGGAGGCAGAGGGAAGATGAACAGGAAAGGTAGAACTTGTAAATGTTTCTGAGGAGTCATAAAAACTAGTAGTACGCGCTGATCCACTGGTGCTTGGAGGGGTTAGATTTAAGACTTAAGAGCTGATGTGGAGGCATGTTTGCTGTTTGTTTGTCAGCAGCAGTGTGCCAACGCTCAAGCCCAATTTAATAAGATTTAGAGATTAAAATTTTGGTGTGCAATGCAGCATTGTCCTTGGAGTTCTGCGAGTCCTCTTCTAGTTATGATTTTTTTTTCTATTTTAATCCTGAGTTTTTACAGCATTTCAGAGCACCGAGGCCTGAGACGACAAGCATCCTAAAATGTTTCGTGTTTGTATTGACATTGACAGTTGCTCTGGTGAAGTATATGAGTAACATTTTCTTGCAGAAAGGACCATTTAAAAATCTATAGATCGTTTTGGAAATGTTGCAGTTTGTCTGTGGTGGGGGAAGAAAAAAAAATCAATGTGCATTTTGCCCTGAACACCTGAGACACATCGCTTTAGTCAGTGCACGGTCTTTTCATGCTTGTTCCTCCTTCTTTTTCATTTTCTTTATGTGCAACACAGAGCAACTGCTGGAGTTCATGCACCAGCTGCCTGCCTTTGCCAACATGACCATGTCCGTGCGGAGGGACTTGTGTAGCGTCATGATGTTCGAAGTGGTGGAGCAGGCCGGCACAGTCATACTCCACGACAAACAGGAGGTATGAACAGGGCGAAAAGGGACACACAGAAGCTGAACAAGTTCTATTTAACCTTCAGAATTCAATTCTTCAACAACAACGAGTGGTATTCATTTTTCACCATCCTATTTTGCCACTTTACTGACTTAGATTAATTGCTTCCAGTGTAATTACGGCATGCAAAGTATGTTTTTATTGTATCTGCTTCGATAACACACTAAATTCCCTTAACAGTTAAATGACTGTTTATCTTTACTCAGTCTGACACAAGGTCTGTTTGCTGAGTTGCTGAATCTTAATTGGGCAATTAATGTAATCACAGTAGAAAAAGAAATCTTAACTTTGCCTTTTGTTATCAAGCAGAGCAGTGATGTAACCTTTGAAAAGACATACATAAGTGCGCACAAGTATTAAACAGTTGCAAACACGCCAACGTACCCATTATGGAAAGCAGTGATGTAGATGTGGAAGCATATTAAGGCCTTCACACATACGAAAGAAGAACATATACGGAGCAACGTGCGCTTTCCCGTGCACAGGTGCACACACATCCTCACCATCCTAATTCACGAGGCAAAACTGGTATGTGCAAAGTCACCGCAGCATATAAGCCCCGTCAATCACTCGAGCTGCTACACAGCTAATTAATTAAGTTACATGCCTGAGAAACGGGGACCCTGTCATGGCTGTTTGGTTACATGCAGCAGCATTAGAACTGACAGGGTGATAAATGGCAATGAACTGCCAGCCGCCGAGCTCGGAGGAGGACGGGAACACACATCAGCGGGGCAAAACCATAAACGCGCACTTTAGTGGAAAGAAGACACAAATAGGTGATGTGCGTCTGTGTAACTAACTCCGTACCGTCTGTGTCGAGGCAGTTGATGGGCATTTTTCCTCCACTCCACTGCCTCTCTGTGGACTCTGTGTTGAAGGTCAAAGAGAAGCACTTGGCCTTTCTCGGAAGTGAGCACGACTTTGCTAAGTGAGTGTGAAGAGGGAAAGGAAAATAAAGAGTCTGAAGTGGTATTACAGATGTAGAAAAGAGAGAGAAAGTGCTCCATGTGCCGGAAAGGAAGAGAAAATGGACAATGAGGGAGTCGAGGGAGTGTCACATGGAAAGACGCTTTTGAAGAAGAAGAATTTGTCCTTATGATCAGGGGTTAAAGTGGGATTTTGCATGCGAGAGAAACCTCAGTGCAGCTCGAGGAAAAGAGTGACTTAGAAAATAAGTCGCATATTCATTTGTTATGGGAGCTTCAGTAGATTTTTCTTTGTGTACAGGCTGTAATTAGCTGTGCTGCTACATGCAACCTTTGAATAACAGAAGTAAACTTCTTATAGTACATTTCTATACTTCTTCATAGGATGAGTTAAATGCTAACAAACAAAATGAGCTCCATTCGTACAACCTACCCTACTACTTGGTTACATTGTATCTTTTGGGTGGCTGTGGCTACAATGTAGCTTGCCATCACCAGTGTGTGAATGTGTGTGCGAATGGGTGGATGACTGAACGTGTAAAGCGCTTTGGGGTCCTTAGGGACTAGTAAAGCGCTATGCAAATACAGGCCATTTACCATTTTCTCTTGCTGGGAGAACTGTACCTTTTAGCTAGCAGACACATTGTGTGACAAACTGCGCGGAACCAACTTGCGTGTTTGGCGATTTTTGATGAGCTGTTTAAAAAGATGTCCCTCTGTTTATGCACGCTCCTCTTCAGTCGGGCTTGCTAGATACTTTAGTCCGGCAAGGGCAACTTCACATCTGCACCATGAGCGCATCTCAGGGATGCAAAGGTAAAAGAGAGGTGTTGAAGGTATAAGCGGGGCCTGGGATGTGTCTGTGCAGTCAATGGAAGCAATGACATTTTAACTCATACCACAGTAATATGTATTAACCCGCATTTCAGATTTAATTACTCATTTCCTGGCGGTGTTAGAACGCCACTCCAGATTGATAATAGGAAATAAGAATATTTTCCCTACCAGTGCAGGCTTCATTACTCATAGCAATAAATTCAGATGGTCTATCCTACAGGAAATATTATATTTGTGTAAAGTTTATTTAAAAGAGAACTTTTGTTCACAGCGCATGTGTGGCGGATCATCGTAGCCCACCTTATTAGCATTTTTATTATTTATTAGCATTAGAAAGCGATGTGGGAGCCAAACTGTGAAGCACAGAGGGTAGAATCAGAGATTTGCTAGGTGAGAAACAGCAAGAGAATGAAAAGGCAATGAGGAGGAAATATCAGTTATTGCTGCAGAGGGAGCCCAGGGCTCATTCACCCGCCCTCTGTCCGCTCACACTCAGGATGAATGGCTTGTTATATTATGCCTGCTAGCATTTCCTTTTCAAAAGCCACCACTAGAGACACAATACCTCTTCACCAGCCTACTCATACCTCACACAAAGCACATTATGCTCACAATTTACTACATTTAGTAATGTATTGCCATTTTAATAGACGTTCTAGTGAAGCCGTAAAGGTCTGTAAATCTAATGATTCAAGATAAATCCATGCCAAGTGACGGTAATGATTCCTTTTTGCTCGTCTGCAGTCGAGCCAGTATGTATTTAACACTGGTTTTAACAGATGTACCCATTTTACCCTGTTTTGATAAAAGAAAAGTAAAAAAACATACACATAGAAATCAGCAATGCTGTTAGATTTGTAATCTCTTCAAGCAAAACAAAAGTTTGACATTGTTTGGTTTTTGGTCATTTTAAAAATTATTTCTATTATTTCTACCCCTCCGTCTGTAGCTGGACCACTGGTATGTCATTCTGAACGGAGCAGTCGAAATTAGTTATCACGATGGGAGAACGGAGACTCTTTGTATGGGCAACAGCTTCGGCATCTCACCCTCACTGGATAAGCAGTACATGAATGGAGAGGTTCGCACCAAAGGGGACGATTGCCAGGTAAAAATAACCGATTTTTCCACTGTTATAATTACACTTTTTATCATTGCGTTTATACACTAAGAGAACTCTGTGAGGGGTTTGTGTTTTCTTTAAAATCTTGCTGTGTTTAAGCATTTTCTGGAAAATGTGTGTCACAGTGCAAGAATCACAAAGTGAAGTCCTGCTTTCATTTCTTCTTTCAAGCGACCAGTAGTGGTTTGCAATCACAGCGAAATCTACGTGTCAAAACTACGCTTTCCCTTCTTTCATAATCTTCTTATAAAAAGGTGGAATAAGTAAATAAAAAGAGTTCAAATTTAATACAGCATTTTAGTTGTGAAGACACAGGCGTAGCTTGCGTCATCTCTTTCACATCGCATACACTAGCAGCCTTTCTAAGAGCCTTGTGGGTTTCACAGAGAAACTTGGTCTTAATATAGAGCAGGAACCTGAAAGGTAGAAGAAACCTAGCGTGTACTCGCGGTAACATTGCCTCTGTCCACACTGGCCAGTTCCTCTGCTGCACACATCATTTCCTGTCTTTATATGCAAAGGAAGTTGCAGAGGTAGGGCTTGGTTAGGCAAATGCAGAAACTGATGATTTACTCAAGGGAAAGCATAGCAAGAGACGATGCTTTAGAGTAGTAAAGACTCGTGCCGTCTTGTCACCGTGGTATAATGGCAGGTTAGTTTAGTTGGTGTCTAATTTATAGCAAAGGATGCTTCTGCAAAATAGCTAGCTGAGATGATTTTGGACCACCATAGGTACTTTAAATTTAGGCATAGTATCGGGTTTAGTTTTGTTAGTGTTGGACGTTCCTACCTTCATCCGTTCGTCCCTCCCATGCCTCTCTCTACCATCCGTAATTCTACTTCTGTGCTGTTGTTTGAGTACCCGAATGTGGTGCAGAGCAGTATTTTGCTCTACTACAAGTTCATCCGCTGTCCTCATGTTATCCTCGACCAGTTTGTCTGCATCGCCCAGGAGGACTACTGGCGCATCCTCAACCATGTGGAGAGGAATACGCACAAGGTGGAAGAAGAGGGGGAGATTGTGATGGTGAAGGAACACCGGGAGCTGGACCGCAGCGGGACCAGGAAAGGACACATTGTCATCAAGGTTAGTAATTTAAAACGTTAAAGAGCAGCAGAGGGGTCCCAGAACAAGAGCCTGCTTTGCTTTTTGTGTGAACCCAACCTCAACCGCAAAAGATGTTTGAGGATCAAACGTAGGATCAAGGCAGAGTGGCACTCTTTGTTTTTCTTTAACTGACTCGGTGCCAAAATACAATTAACCTTTTGCAAGAACATACTCAATAAAGATGAGACAGGCAGAGACACGCTGAAGGATTAAACACCCAAGGTCAAGGTTAAGCTTATAATCATGCCAGAAGCTAATAAGCACGTTTAATCTCACCCTGAGCTTGTAACATGACTTGCTTCTGAAACCAGAAAGTCAAGGTTTCACACGTTATCATCTGCTAAAATGCCCCGTGATTGATTTATGTACATCATCATTACAAATCGACCATCCCCCTCACGTGCATCATCTTACAAAAATACGAGTGTAGCTGCTCGATGTTGTTCAGTGATTGTTAAGAGACAGAGTTAGCACTATTAGTGTTTGCCAGAGCTTTTTTTTTTTTTTTTTTACGCTACATTGTAATGCCTTCCTAAACCCTTTTGATCCTTTCCCTGAATCTCCAGAGGCAGCCCAAGGTATTGATCCGATAATGGGCCAGAACGATTCTCTTGGCTGCTGCTCCAAGGAAAAGCTGCTGGCTCTGAAACACGTCCAGCGGATAAGAGTCGATTCACAAGTGTTAGCATTTCTGCTTCTGTTTTTGGCTTTGTTCTTTTTGTGTCTGACAAAAGTGGATTCTTTTCTAGTTTCTGTTCCCTGTCAAATGAAACATCCCCCCCGAGAAACCTCTGCTATGGTGGCATTAACAATAACAAACTCACAGAAACAAGAACAATGAGGTTTATACGTCACCGATACTTTAAGTCTGCTGCTTAGGAAAAAAAAAATTCCCCTAGACACAGAAATCAGGAATGTAGCCTCGGATATTTGAGGTATTTTATTCTTATACAAATCTAAATTATCAGTAATTCTGCAAAAAAAGCATGTGCACTTGTAAAATACTTGTTCTGTGTGTGTGTGTTTTTTATTGATGGGACACTGACAGCTCTGTTCAATACCTGCACCTTTATAGCTTATGTCCTTGTCACTATTCTGATTGGTATTGACACAGCTTGGTGTGTTCTTGCCTCTCAGATCCGTCGTGACCTTGGACTTTAACTGTCTTACATGTGTATCTATGTTTTTCTCAGCTCATCCTTATGTATATATATTTGTGTGTGTATATTTTTCACCCCAGGGAACACCCGAGCGTCTGATCATGCACCTGGTGGAGGAACCGTCGGTGGTCGACCCCACCTACATCGAAGACTTCCTCCTGACCTACAGGACATTCCTTTCAAGTCCCATGGAGGTTGGCAAGAAGCTGCTGGAGTGGTTCCAGATAGACAGCCTTCGCGACACGGTGAGTGCGTGTATGTGCGCATGCATGTATGACTATCTTGTGGCCGGTGGTCACTTTCTCGCGCACCTTCAGATTCCTATTTGAGTGCCATCACTTGAAAGGATGGTAACCTGTGCCCGTTGGGGTTGCGTTGGGCAGTTGGAATTGGGATGGTTAAGATGTGGGATACTTTCGCATGGTGTGTGGAGGTATGAAAAATGTAAAAAGCCACAAAGTCTGGAAATGGCAAAGCATTAGCATGTGTAGACGCTGCAAAGGTGAAAATGCTTATACAGTTAAAACGGTCTACATTAATCATTCATTATACGGTGGTTCTCTAAATGGTGGTCCCTCTTGATGTTTTGCATCCATGCATGTTGATGGAAATCCACGTGTTGTGCCACTGGCACGCCGATCGATACGAGTTCAGCAAGCTCAGCCGTCTTTGAGCACTGTAGCGATTCGTGCGTGCCTGACACTCCCGTTGTCCACGGCTACGTTAACCTAAGATTAGCCTTGTACAGTCGATAGTCTTTATGTGGTTGTCATTCAGGCTTATAATCTTCAGCCCCCTTAAAGACGAACTAATCTTGTAGAGAACGAACACAGAGCGAGAGAGAGACAGAATATGGAAGAGGAGAAAAGAGGGCATGAGCACAAGTTGCCTTGGAGACACGCACACACACAAACACTCGCACAAAGGAGAGTGAAAAGCGGAGTGTGTACATCGATCCTCTTTATTGATGCATTGTGTTCTACTCTGACCTTTTGCAAAGGTTAGAACAATGTTCCCACCCGTGTAAATTTACAGATGTTATTATTTCCCTCTGCCTTTTTTCCCTTCTAATTATTGTGGCAGAAATTAAGCCGTCAACTAGTAGTTAACAGCCTTTCTCTGCAGCCATATGCCGGTTATTATACAGCATCCGTTCCTTATGCGTTACTAATTACTATGGTTTTTCTTTCTTTCCTCAGAAGCTAAAGATAGATACCTCTATAACTGGACTGAAGAATTAACCGAGTTTGCATTTTGTTATGGTAACAGTCATATTTTTAATCTGAAGCTATAGGTTGTGATTAACAGACTCACATTTCCAAGCATTTCGCCTCCCAAAGTGTCCTTGAAAGTCTAACTCCTGGTAGAGTTCAATTCAAGATGATCTCTGACCTTAGCAAGCAGCATAATTATCAATCACATTTCCTGTCGAAGCTCAGCTGAAGGACTTTGGAGAATGTGAAATGTGAAAACACATTCACAAGACCTACCTTTGTGTGCTTTGCCTCGCTGTTTCACAGGTAACAAGAATAGTGCTGCTGTGGGTCAACAACCACTTCAACGACTTCGAGGGTGACCCGGCTATGACGCGCTTCCTGGAGGACTTCGAGAAACATCTAGAAGCCACAGTAAGATCAAATGAAGACTGTTAACTTATTTTCCAATTCAGTGCTTTTAAGCTCAGAAATTGTGTTAAACAGCCATCAGCGTTTTCTCCAATAGTAATAGTGATGTTAGCTTTTATTTACCTCAGCTGCACGCTTGTGTAATTGGCCACATTTTGGCACAATCTCTTGTTTTGATGTGCTCGTTGATTTGCTCTATCAGAGTTCTGGGATTAGCCTTTTCATAAACACTCAACACCTCCCTGCCCTCTAGCAGAAATCCTTCATCGCATGCAATAATAACAAAGACATCAAAAATTATTTAAATGCTAATTCAGAACAACAAGTTCTTGAAAGTAACAAGTCTGTCTCTGTGAACTCATTAAATTATTTATGCACTTTTCCCTCCGCTTTTATTGCTAAAAATGTAAAATATATTTCAAATATTAAAATCATCATGGTCATAGCTAAGCCTCACACCTCTAGTTTTATTGGTGTATTATGATAACTCTTTATGGTCTAGATTCCCTGGAGCAGAATGCTAGATAAGGTCAATGTTTAATGTATCAGTATTTATATTCTACCTCTTCTTTTTTTTTTTTTAAATTATTATTCTTATCCAAAACTACTTGCAAACCTAAGGATGCGAGCGCACGTGTAAATGCAGTTCTGTTTCAGTTCATAATTTTCTCATTTTTACCTCATCGTCAGAAAATGAAGGGCCATTTGAGGCTGCTGAACATAGCATGCGCAGCCAAGGCTAAGTGGAGACAGATCACTCTGCAGAAGGCATCTAGGGAATCACCGCTCCACTTCAGCGTGCAGGGCGGCAGCGAGAGAGGATTTGGCATCTTTGTCGAGTCGGTGGAAGAAGGAAGCAAAGCTGCAGAAGCAGGACTCAAAAGGGGGGATCAGGTAAGAGGACAGTAAGGAATAGTGTGGTGAAATCCTAATATACATACACCGCTGCATGAAATGCACAATCTTAATGTTTTTATAGTTTACACATGTATGTAGGAAAACATGAGCGGTACATATATAGGTCTAATTACTTTTACTTTGCAATCCTGACAAGTACTTTATTCCATTTAAATGCATCCCTAGATGTTAATTAGTCCCTAATTAAACAGTTATAACGAGGACCATCACAGCGCTTCAGTCAACTAGTTCCCAGATGATTATGGACTGTATAACATGCAGTCACAATTAAATGTTCTGTGTGATCTGATCCACCCCGATCAACTTAAAAATTATAATAAATATATATTTATTAAAATCTTTCAGGTTTTAGCTCTTCCCAGCAGGAGTACTGATGTTTTACCACAATATATCACTTCAGCATAGTCTCATGATTTGGTTTGTCCAGCGGTTACAAGGTCAGCAGTCTTATTTAGAGGATCTAATGTGACAGTGTGGTTACTGTACAGTGGTTCTTCCCATTGCTGGTGCGTAATGAGCCTTTCGTCAGCACACTGCAGCCTGTTAATTAGAAAGTCTGATCATGTTTAGTGACTTCTCTAAATTGTTAAGATGCCATTTGATGTCTACTAAGGTTTCCGGGGGGGGAGGGGAGACAAGGTATTTTGAGACCTCAGAGACAAAGGTGCACGTAGCGGACATCATTGATGTAGAGCGGATGTTAGGAAGCTCTTTGTCTGGTCTGATCAGGCAAAAAAATGCAAATCATGACTTTGAAAGATCATCTCAGTGTTGACAGAATCATGCATTTCTTCTTAAAGGCTGATCAGCATTCAGGGAATGAAAGAGGGAAGTAAAAACAGTAGTGCTATCCTTATCGTCAGTCAAACTGGAGTAAAGATTTATTTCTCAGCATAACAAGCAGGAGCTTGGAGGCTGGTCAGTATTTAGGGAACGGAAAAAGGAACTTGAAACAATAAAGCCAAGTCCTTACATATATCTGCCCTGCAGCTCTCGTTACCTCAAACCTGGACAAAGAGTCACTCATTAAAACGGAAGTTGAGTGGCTTTGAGGGCCAAATGTAAATGTATTCATCAACTCAGCTGGGAGTTGAAGCTTAAATGGCAATAATTACTAGATTAGATTAAGATGATCTGAGTATTAAAGCCATCAACTGTCATTCACAAAGATATCATTAACAGCTGGAATTTAGTTTCGCGGTATAACTAATGAAGGTATTTCAAGAAGACAGTTCTGTTATAACGGTGGTTAAAGTGAAGGTCTGGCTGCCTGTAGCTGCACATCAGAAGAACTTCATAATGACTCAGCTTGTCTGTATTTGTGTCGCTAGCCTTTGTGCTTGTTGTTGACACAGTTACAGATCAGATATCCTTATGCTGAACGTGTCACAGTGAGAAAACGGTTAGCCCTGAGCTATTTTAATCTGGGACCCTTTACTGTTCATGTTGCTGTCAGTGAATGAGACTGAAATAGTTTGTGGTATTTTTTTTCACAACCTCACTGTAAGGACTCTTATACTTGATGCAGGTGAACTGCTTTCACATTTTTTTGATTGACTTACTGCTTTTTAAAAACAAACTGCACAATATTCACTTGAAGCAGATTCTTCTCCTCTAAAGGTGGCAAGAAATGAACTCTCAACCGTTTCTTCCCGTTCTAAGTCATAGAGGACCAGAGCCACCTTATTAAGAGATACGCCGAGTTAAGAGAAATAAAAATAATACCAGCTGTGTTTCAGATTTGAGTCCAAGATCTACATATTATGTTTTTTAAATTAAGTAATTTGATTTGTGCTTATGAGACTAGTGGTCACCCCTGCTGTGCTTCAGGGAGTTTTGATTGTTTGCTGCCATGTTTTTCATTTTTGAATCTATCTTGCTTCAGATCATGGAGATCAATGGTCAGAACTTTGAGAACATCTCCCTCTCCAAAGCTGCAGACATCCTACGAAATAACACACACCTCTCCCTCACAGTTAAAACCAACATCTTTGGTGAGTACATTTGGTTGCATGCCAGTTTTTGACATCCTATCACGAGCTGTAAAAGATGGTAGAAAACCCACGAAGGTGTAAAAAAAAATCAAATAAAACAAAGCTACATTTCTCTCTGTTCCTCCACCCATTCAGTCTTCAAAGAGCTCCTTAGCAGGATCGCGCACGAGAAGAAGAACGGCGGCCTTCACATTCCCAAGATCCAGGAGAAAAAAGGCAATCGTTTCTCCATCGCCGACCTTCCCGGAGACATGGAGTTCCCCACTGACCACAAGGCCACCCGGAAAATGAAGGCCAACACTGTGTCTGGAGGACGAAACAAGATCAGGAAGATGCTGGAGAAGACGCGCTTCAGTATACTGCCACCTAAACCTTTCAGGTAGGCGTACACATGTGTAAAAAAGAAAAACGGAGAAGAACGGCTGCCTGTATAAGCTTAAAATAAAATTAAGTATAGAAGAAAATACTCTAAGGCTGGGATAGCGAAAATGGGGAGAGGATTTTTTAATGTTGGCAAAAAAGTGTCGTAATTTGTCACAAAAATAGCATGCCATGAATCGAATGGTTTATGGGAGGGTGTTAGCACATTAGTGAGCTCAAGTGGTTTTCCTTGACAGCTTCAGACAGGGTGTGGTTGCATCAGTCCACTTCCTTTCCATTGGTGGTTTTATTTGTACATAATTTTCTTCAGCAGGTGTGCAATTGTGACTTACTGACTAAAGTTTCTCGGTGCCCATCAGAAAGCATCAGCGTAGCACATTTTACCCTCTTCTTTCAGCTCGTGACAGTAGGAAATTGATGACGACTAAAATGCCTGCACACATTTATAGATAAGTGGTGCTTCAGAGTCCAACCAATTCAACACAAACTACAGGGACCTCTTCCTGAAAAGATACCTTAGCTGCATGACATGTCAGATTTTCATCAGTGAGCACTGCTGTGGAAGTGCACAGCCTTTCACAGGACCAGCACAGAAAACGTCCAGGTACTGTTGGGTATTTACGAGGAATTTTTGAGAAGCCTGGTGGTTCAGCCTCAGTCTAATCAGCCTAATCTTTCACGTATTTTCAGTCGGTGTGATGCAGATCTTTTCTAGGCAAATCACAAGAACGCAAAAAAAAACTCATAAGCATTGCCAATCCATAACCAGCCATTGTACTGGCAAGCATCTGTGGCAATCGTGCGGATGAGGCTCACATTCAGTACTCCTCCCGTAACAGGCTTGATTTCATTTGATCATTTCATGCCTCTCCAGGCCTCATTTAAATCCGTACTGTGACTGTGTAGACAGGAACGCTGTTCTCCGTTAATTACAGAGCCGGCTCACTCAACTTTTTCTGTCTCGCTGTCGCCGCTCTATCAGTTTCCATCTTCGCAGTGATGTCCACAAAGCCACAGAGTTCGCACGAAAAGTAAACGCGCTCCGTCTCATGACGCAACACACTATCACATGGCTATTGAACCGACTTTGTGCTATCAAAGCAAAAAAGGGCTTTCATTGCTTCCTCTTTTTTTTTTTTCTCTCTCTGCAAGTTGGCACCATTCAAAGAGCCTTTGGTTCAAAGGAATAGATGGATGATTAAAGGGAGTGGAGATGAGAATGGAGATGAGACTGGTGATTTGGGTCAATCATGATTCATCAGTGCCTGTTGTGGGATGAAAATTTGAGGGGAGGCCATCATGTGAAGTTGTCTACATTTTGTGTGTCTGTTTGCGCGCGTATGTATGCCTATATAAGAAAGGTACGGGCTGTTCCGAGGACAGTGCACTTTATAATGTGCAGTTACAATTATGCACACACTCTTACAATTTACAGTTAAGTCAGAAAACCTTGTGTTTTAAGACTCAACGGTGCTCCAGCCAAACTGGGTTATTTACGAAGCGATCGTCACGGCGACTGCTTCTTCTGATCTTGGACGTCATTGTACTCCACTGCAGAGTAGATTTTTATATGACAAGGGGACGCAGGCAGTAAACCCGTTGTCTCTCTGCCAAATGAAGATGTCCAGCCTTGTGCATTTGCCTTAATACACATCCCATATTATTCACCCCAGATGATTTACATTGCTTAGATTGAAAAGCAATACACTGATGTTTTAGCCTCTAGCCTCTACTCAGTTTGTCTTTCAAGTCTTTGCTATTTGCATCCTCCCTTCTTTTTGTTACAGTTACATTTGCTAA